TTTCCTGTTCTCTTGTAGGATATATCCCTAATCTTAGACCATTTTTAGATTTGATTAGGAAGTTCTTCTTTAATTTGAAATTGGATGGTGAGTTCTCCATCACATTGCTGGATTCTCATCTTGTTTTAATAAAATTATGTTGTGATATAGATTATTGCATATTCTTTGCTCATCGATCTTATCTTGTTAGTAACTGTTTCATGAAACTTACTAAGTGATCTCCTTTTTCTTATATATGACGAGTGGCTCCCAAATCTATAACCCATTTTTTTCCTTGAACAAGATTAACTTATGAGATTACAGCAATAATAACATCATTGGTTTCTGCAATGTTGACATTTGATTTATCGTTCAATTTTATGTGTCTGCATTGTCTAGCAAAATGATCTGGTTTTCCACGAACAAAACAAGCACTTTTCTTCTCTTGTTCATTTCCTTTGACTTTGAAATTTTTATTTCCCTGTTTTTGTTTGTAGAGAGATTTTTTAAAATTTTCTCTATTCTTATTCCCCTTTTGTATCAAATTTGCATTATAAGTAAAATCTCCAGCCCTTTCTGAATCAATTTTTTTCTTGATAATCTCTACGATACTAATATCAATAATGACATGCTCTAAACTCATATCCTCACGCTTATGTTTCATCATATTTTCATATTCCTTCTAAGATACAGAAAGTTTCTTAATCAAGGATGCAGTGATAAAAGATTCTACTAAGTTAATTCTTTCATTCATAAGCTCACTAATAAGAATATAAAAATCATATATATTAGCAGAAATTTCCTTAGAGTCATTCATATGAAAGGCTAAGAAATTTTCTAATTAACAAAAAATATAACAATTTGTTCACCCCAAAATGCCATTGTCTCACTTTGTTGATATTCTTATCATATTCATGTTGTGTTTTGTTGTTGTTATTTATTTAAAGCCAGCTAGCTTGACAAATTCAAATACTGTTTAACTGGGAAATAAATTTTGGTTGAATTGAGGTAGAATGTATAAAAAAAAAGAGAAGAAGACAAAGAAAATCCACACTTCTGTGACTTTTCACTATCCAAAAATACTAAAGAAGGCTGGAGAACCAAAATAACCCCAGAATTAGTGCTCCTCTCAGAAACAAGCTCAACCATTACCATATCCTCAAGTACCCTTTGACGACTAAACCTATCATGAAAAAGATCGAAGACAAGTACAATTCTCTTGTTTTATTGTTTATGTCCGAGCTGATAAAAAGAAGATTAAGGCGGCTCTGAAGAATATATACGACATTCATAAAAAAGAAAGTTAACACGTTAAACATGCTTGATGGTACAAAGAGGCTTATGTTTGCCTGACTCTAGATTATGATTCTCTTGAGTTGTGAACAAAATTTGTATAATTTATTTCCGGTTCTACAGACTGTTGAAATTATGTCATTGGGAGTTCCTGCTCTTAGACCCTTTGCAAGCAAGTAAATTCATATCATTTTGCAATGTGATTTTGTTTTTATTTTTTTTAACAGTCTCTTTGATTTTAAGCACGATGGATATTGCTAAAAAAAACTTCCCTATTAAAGTGGGGAAATTTAAACTATGTACTATAGTCAAATTGTTCTCAATAAATAAGTGATGTTCATCTTTCATCATCTATTAAGACAAATTTATGCTATTTAATATTTGGATATTCCATATCAGTAAAATTTCAAGGAATCAATTTTCATGTGAGGTTCTGCTAAATTGATTGGAGTTTGATGATTGCAGGAGAAAATAATAATATGCAAGAAAAAAGAAAAACATTTTCAAAACATTCACTTTTAATATTTATAAAAGAAAGAAGTTATTTATAAAATAATTAAATAAATATGCTTAAGTATATTTTTACTACATAAAGAAAATGAAAATATCCTAAATATGACATAAACTAACCACTCTTCATCCATGCTAACCACCACCGTGTCAGTATTAGCAGAATTTAAAACTGCCTTAAAATTTAACTCGTTTAATACGGCCTAAATCTAGCATTAAATGCTCCATATTAGCAATAAATCCCATAATTCCTCCAACAAAGAATTGAGTCAGAAGCTTTGATAGTTTTTTTGTTTCCACCTAAACCTAGAAAAGATAAAAGACAGGCCGAGAAGGTGCTGTCCTCTTTCCTCCTCATCTATAAATGTTCATTGCAATTCTTTCCTGCAAAATCAAGCGAGCACTTTTCGATTCTCAAGTACTTCGCAGAATCGAATCTTGTTCAATCAATTAAAGGTTTGATGTCGACAATTAGCGGAGGCAAAGTTTTTGAGCCTTTATTATTTGACCAATGGGATCCATTAAAGAGCTTCAACACCTTCTCCGACAACGCCATCTATGCTCCCGGCTCCAATTTTGTGACCGAGGTTTTAACTTTTGCCAACCCCTGCTTCGACTGGAAGGAGACATTGGAGGCTCACATCGTTGAGGCCGATCTCCCTGACGTCAAAAAGGAGGATGTTAAGGTCGAGGTCGTGGAAGGCGGCGCCCTCCAGATCAGCGGCGAGTGGAAGAGGGAGCAGGAGGAGAAGACCCATCGCTGGCTTCTACATGAGCGAGGCAACGGTAAGTTCCTCCGCCGATTCCCACTGCCGGAGAACGTGAAGGTGGATCAGGCGAAAGCATCCATGAAGAATGGGGTGCTTAGTGTCATCGTACCCAAAGAGGAGGTGAAGAAGCCTTACGTGAAGTCTATTGAGATTTCTTGAGAGGATAAAATAGAAGAATATGATTTGCATCTCAAATCGCCCGTGTTCTTAAGTTGCTTGTTTTGTTGTTGGCGAAGATTTTTTGATTGCTCTGTTTTGTGAACTTTTTGATGTTTGATGTTGGCTTGGTTTGTGATTTTTTTTTTTTTTTCTAAGGTAGTTTTTTAGTACAATATTTTTAGGTCAAAAAATTTGTATGCTAAAATATTATTTTAAATAATAGTGAAAAAATTGTCTCAAATGAAATCTTAAGCTTCCCTATTGAAGTGGTGAAATTGAAAGTGTGTAATATTAGCAAATTATTCTAAATAAATAAGGCTTCGTTTAGGACAGTTTTTTTACTACTTTCTAAAACGGAGTTTTAATACAAAAATAAAAAAATTTGTACTAAAACTCACGTTTTAGAAAACAATAAAAAAGCCGTCCCAAACCAAACCTAAGTGATATTCATCTTTGATCGTCTATTAAAACAAATTTATGCTATCTAATATTTAGATATTCCATATTAGTAACATTTCAAGCAATCAATTTTCATGTGTTTTGTGAAATTGATTGGAGTTCGATAATTGCAGCACGTTGATATTAATCTGATGGTGCTGAATTCAAAAAAATATATGGTTTTATTTCTAACAGCTTTCTTATTGCTTTTTTTAGCAATTTTTAGTACAAAATATGTTTAGATGTGAAATTTTTATACTAAAAAGATGCTTTATTAAACAGTAAGAAAACTATCTCAAATGAAGCCCGAATGAGAGGAGATATTGAAAAGATTTGAAAGAATTAAGATTTTTTGGAGTAAATGCAAACTGTAAATTATGTAGAAGACTATATATGCTACAATAAGCAAAGATGCATCATTCAAATTAAAGACTGTTGATCATGGCAAAATGAGAATCAGTAAATAAAACCAATATCATTCAATCTTCTATGTCTCAAACATTAAAAGTATATATGCAAGAGAGATGGGTCAAGCTAAAAACACATCATTGAATGATCGAAAAATTGAGTAGCTGATCAATAGTTTGTTTCTTTGAGTAATTGTCGGAGGCGATTTTATAGATAGTTAATTATCATTTTACATCCTCTTTAATTTTTGCATAATATGATATCTAATTTTATGTAAGATTACCATGGCAACTATATCTTTGAATTTTATTATTGTGTTTAACTAAATGTTATAAATAAACATATAACAAATTTAGCTAATAAAGCTTTCTAGTCAAATATTAGCCAAGAAAGGAGAGCTAAACTCTAGTATTTGTGGTAGGGTGGAATTAAAAAAAAAAAGCTACAAAATAAGGGTAATCAAGAAATGTGTCAGTGAGAAAATCATTGGAGAGAAAAAATCATCCAGTATTTTGGGATCATTAAATTAAGAATCTATTCAAGATTGTTATAACTTTTTATAAAGTTGATTATGAAATTGTTGTTGATAGAATAGTTTTTTTGAAAGTTGTTGTAGAAAAAGACTTTTAGTACAATTTTTTTTTTTAAATCAATAAAAAACCAATGACCAATTAGAAATTAAGATAACATTGTAATAATCAAAGTAATAAGAGAGCTATCCCAAATGAAGTCTAAGTTGTTTTAAAAATATAAAAAATATGAAAATGGTAGAACTTTTTGCTACATTAATTTAGATGAGGCACAGTATTGTAGATAGTATTTTTGACAACAACTCAATAGAAAACTTTTTTTTTTCCATTTAAGAGGAGCATTAATAAAATTGAAATAATATGTTGTAATAGATTTAACAGTTTTTTTTTTCCATTTAAGAGGATAGATAAACTTGTAATGATGGTGAATAAAATATCACCAACTAATTAATTGATTAAATTTAGGGTTTTATTTTAGAAAACTTTTTTATTGATTTCTATGCCAGTTTTTTAACACAAAAATTTTTAGTTAAAGGATTTTTTGTACTAAAAAGTTCCTTTGAAAAGCAATAAGAAAGCTATCACAAGATAAACCTAAATAGATATTGCTGATAGATGTTGCACTGAAGTTTTATATTTCTAGTGATCAATTATTTACTGCTTGTATTTGATGGTTAACTAAGAATTGTCGATATTCTAACTCTCATTTCTATTGAAGGTAGAAATTGCACGCTTCATGTTTTAATATCAAGTTTAGAGAGGCTTAAATAAAGAGCTACCAAAGCTTCAAAGTTCAAAATATGGTAATTCTGGCAAAGTATTCAAACTTATCTATTATTTTGTTGTGACTGTGTGGTTTTATGAACTACTTGGACAGAATAAAGACTCAAGGATATGTTGGCACCTATTGAACATGTCCTTAGCACTTGAAAAATATATAGCATTGCTAGCCCTCATAATTGCACTCTCCTAATTTTGATCGATAGCATTATAATTAGTCATCCAAATTTATCTATCATAGTTCTTCAACACTACAGCATAAAATCCAAGAAATCACAAGGCACATGGAGACTAAATTTAATAAAAGAATGTCAAATATTAAATCATTGTGATGCAATGTTGAAAACATTTAAGGTTATAATTGAGAGGTGGAAAGAGTCCATTATTCCAATTTATGGAAGCTTTTACTAATTTGCTCTTTAGACACTAGAATGATATTTGAAATCTTCAGTCATATAGAGAAGCTTGCAAGCTTAAAAGAACTTTAACTCAATATATGTCGAGGGCCTCCTACAACATAAAATTTCAGTAATAACTAAATATTTTTTTATAGGTGAGCGTTTGAATTCAACTCAGTATAATTTTAATTTTTTTTTGTTTGATTCAGGCATATATATTATGAATTAATTTGAAGCGATCTTAGTATTGCTTGATTCATTAGCTATAAATCATAATAACCGATAATATATATATATATAAGTGTTGCGCCATGATTTTGGACTTTTATTCCTTTATTGAACTCTCAAATTTAGGTTAAAATTTTATAAAATAAAATGTGTTAAGTGCAAAAAATCCCCACTTTATCAGTTTAAATTTTGAATCTTGCAATTCTCATTCGACTATAAGTGTTGCACCATGTAAAATTGCCTTTCCTGCTTCTGAAATTGAAAAACAAAATTTATATCAAATATGATCTAACATAAAATATATCATGAAGGCTTTCAAATTGTGGAGATTTACCAAGAATTTATGTTTATATGTTCTCTAAGTTGTATGATGTAATAAAATAGTAGAAAGATACAACTTGATGTACCATTTCACAACACTTTGTTATGGAAGCTAAGTATTCTTTTAGAAAGAAAATGTTTCATCGTTTTATGCTTTTTACAGTGCTTTCTTTTTCGTTCCATCTAATATTCTAGTTTTCATTATTTGCCACACTGAAGTTATAGTTTGAGTGATACAAAGTAAATATTATTCTAATTGAGCTGATTTAATTATATTTCTTCTATAATTAACATACCCATTCTTTATTCCTGATTTTATTGATATATACTTTAGTGAAATGATGTTAACATGCTTTAGCCTTTTTTTTCAATTTATCAGAAAGTGCTAGCAAATAATGTATCCATTTAGAAGGATTGTTAACTCTTATCCAAAGATTTTTTTTTTTTTTTTTCTGTAATTCGGATATAGAATGTTTATCTTAAATATTTACACAACATTGAATTCACAGCTATGGTATTTTTTTATTTTTTTTTTATGGACATTATCTCCACCAGCTTTAATGTTCCTTGTGGAAAAACAATTTCTAGTTTAATCATGCCAAAATGCCTCTCCATTCAATATTTTCACTTTATAGTTTATCTAAAAATATTGAAATAAACTCTCAAAATCGTTCGATGTTGAAGTTTGTTCACCGAGTGAGCACAGAATCCCTTGTCGTAATTCATTTTATCGTTATATGGGTCATCTGGAACCAAGCATGTTTATTGGCATGATGTTCAGTGTGCTCTTTGGGGACCACCTTGCAGGGATGTGCAAGACACTTTGTTCAGTACTAGAATTATAAAAGTTGATTCTGTTCATGGTCTTTGATTAATTATGTAGTATTTTGGTCTGATTATAATAGTTTTCTTATTGTAGAAACAAAGCTCTGCATGAGAAACATTCTTATTAATGCTCATCATCATATGATTATTTCCTCATATATGGACAAAGCAGAGAAGTTGGATCCCCACTAACAAGCAGTAACAGATATTGATGGTTAGCATGGTTAAGATTGATGATGTGATTTGCCTTTGATAAGCTGATATGAGAGAAAGTAATATTTTGAATTTTATATTTTTTCATAAAGTAAAAAAAATATTTGATGTTAACTAGATGTTATCATTTTGTAAACATTAATAATTTTATATTATGATTTTGAATATCATATTTTATATTTAATTATGATGCATTTGTAAAATATATGAATAATATAATTTTCATTTTCTCCTACAAATCCTTGAAAATGATTTGATGAATGAATATATTTTTTGGATTCTACAGTTTTTATTATTGTTACCTCAAGCTAATAAATTTGTGTTATTTTCTTTTATGAAATTTATCTAGCTAATTGAATATAAAGGAGTGATGGATTGATCTTAATTGTTATAGCCAGCATAATAATTGATAATAAATATATATTTAAATATATATATATATAATTATAATATATATATATATATATATATATATATTATATTATAATTATAATATATATATAATATATTTAATTAGAGGCAGTCCATTTAACTTAAAATGGCTCTGCTAGGATTTCGCTTTTCAATCCCAGCCGCCGCCTCTTACTTCGATTCGTCTGGTGAAGATTTTTTTCATCTTGCTCTTGGTTTCGTGTATGGCGGCTTTCGTATACGCCGATCCTGGTTTCCTGAGCGGAATAGCGCTCCTATTTGTTCAAGATGCGGTTTCTGATTTCGTCATCCCTTTTCCTGCTCTGAATTTTTCTTCCATCGGGCTTGCCGCGTTGTTTATTTCGGAGATGAAATTAGGTCGCTGCTAAGACCTTTTGAAGTCTCTTTGGTTGGGCGTTTTCCGGGCGGGGACCTCTGTTGAAGCCATTCGGATTTTGTTTAGTTTAAAGTTGATTGGAGAATTTTCAGTTAACTGTGCTCAATAATCGGAAATGTTTT